TGTTATTATCAACTCATTGTAATAGGGTGACATAATCAAGATAGATGTATTTTGGGATAAGAATGACATAATCAGGAGAGACGTGTATTGGCATAAAAGTGACATAATCAGGAGATGTGTATAATTTGAAATAAGGGTGACACAATCAGGAGAGACGTATAGTGGGATAAGGATGATATAATCAATTGTTTGTTAAAATGAAATTTTCATCATATGAAGTGTTGTTATCACATCTATATTGATGCGAGGATTGAGTTTTGTTGCATCTTTGTGATGCGACAAGTTGTAATATCGCATTCTATTGATGCGACAAGTTGTAATATCACATCCTATTGATGCTACACGAGTGCTTTATCGCACCAGTGTGACGCAATGAGTTGAGGTTCTCGCATCAGTGTGTTGCGAGAACATGGGTTTGTCTCACCCATGTAATACGAGGAAATTATACATTTATTTTTTTGATGCGACAAGTTTACTTAGAATGCGTTTATCAAGTTATTTGGATATTTGGGTACAATAAATGGGGTTTGTTATAACAAAATAATGTATTTTTGTTATTTATACAAATATACGTTCATAAATGTGATTTGGTGATTATTCACCCTGTAATTGCATCAAAGAGATTTCGCAATAGACCTCAAGGTCTAACCATCATTTTGTGTTTCAAAAATGTGCATTACAGGTTAGACACAACCAGAGAACAAGGAGAAGGGGAAATTGTGAAGTGTTATAAAATGCTTGCATGGGTTATTGGGCCATCATATTCTTCTTTTGAATCTAAATACTTGTTATGTATTCATGTATTGTATAGAGATTTTGTGGAAAAAAATTTTGTAGAGAGATTGTGACCGAGTATGTAAATTATATTTCTTGATATATGAAAATATATATATTTATATGCAAATGTGATCTTGAGGTGTTTCATATCATATGTGATTTTACACTAACGATCAATGCGAGATGTGTAGGCGAAGAGGCCCACAACCTTAGGTAGCGGGCAAAATCATGAAAACCATATGTGATTTTACACGTGATTTTAGTGTAACGTCACATGTGATTCGATCTTCTTATTCAGTTATTTGGTTAATATTCTCATACGAACCTGACTCTAGTGATCAAATATCAAAATATTTACAAGGTAAATTGTGATGATGGCTAACAGAAAAACAAGTGAATTTGTAAAGAAGTCTTTTGAAAAAAGAAAATATTTTAAGATTTTTAAACAACCAAAAAGAGAAAGAAAAAAAAAACATTGTATTTCCTTTTGAGGCGTTCATAAAATGAATCTTACCTTAAAAACTACTCGAAAATTGACTATTGAGGATGGGTTTCCAACTTCGATTGGTTGGCCCTCAAGCACAACCCAGTTGGTCACAAGTATAATTGACGCTCAAGCACAACCCAGTCGGTCACAAGTATAATTGACGCTCAAGCACAACCCAGTCGGTCACAAGTATAATTGACNACAACCCAGTCGGTCACAAGTATAATTGACGCTCAAGCACAACCCAGTCGGTCACAAGTATAATTGACGCTCAAGCACAACCCAGTCGGTCACAATTATAATTGACGCTGAAGCACAACCAGTAGAAACAACACCTTAATACAATTAATAATAACAATTTACACATACCAATAAGGTATATCATTTCACAGTAGCAATCCTTTAACATTGTATGCATTTCAGTTCCAAAGGTTATAGAAAAACTCACCTGAGACGATATTCGATGTTATAAACTTTAAAAAGATAAGAGAATTCAAAATCAAACACTTGAATACGAATAAAGTAAGTACTGATCACAAACTAAGCAATTAAACTCAATCCTCTATTTTAAAGAACCTATTAGGCTGTAAACGATACATCGAATAAGAATATTATAAAATTAAAGTATTTTGTATGCATCATACTTGATGCTTTAATAGTTAAATCTTTAGAAAATTAAAAGGTTTTAAAAACAAAACTAAAATGCTTTAAAATAGTGTATGTATATAACCAATCACAAGTGATTCTATAGTAAATAACATGTGATTTACTTATTTACAACATGTCTAGAGAAGGACACACGTGACTTGTCAACACGACTAAGGTCACGTGAATCCTTGCTTGCGTAATGACCGGTAAATGCGACCCCTTCTGGACATATTGTAAGTTACATGTGATTTTGACCCTTATTGCATTTTTCGTAAGTTGATTGTATTCTCGTTTGAACCAGCCTATATATAATCATGATTTGGGAGGGCAAGTTCTGTTAGGAACTCGAGAACTTCCCACAACACGACAAGTGACATATTCATCAGGAATATGGACGTGCTATTCATCATGAATATTGTAACGTACTCATCATGAATGTGTGATTCATGATGAATAACGCTTCCATGTTCATCCTGAAGAGAGACACGTGACATGATGTAGATGATTTCTAAGTTCCTAATCAATTTTGGGTTCCTAACTAAACTTCCTTCATTGATTTGGTCTGTTTATCTTCTCAATATGTCGAGAACTTTTTGCCTTGAAGTTCACCAATATGTCTTATATTTATTCTTGTTTTGAATGGGATGCTTCGTAAAGAGTTAAACCAGATTTTTACTCTTATTCATACTTTTTACCAAAGGTTTTGTAGCCGACGAGTACTTCTTATTAAACGCATAAGCCCAATAATTTCTTACTAAAGCAAGTATTGTACCCTTGTTTTACAAATCAACATGATGAAGAAAATGTAATAAAGTTCTTCTTATAGGGGGGCAACTGTAAAGTATTTTGGTTTTAAGTACTTCCAGTTATACGCACACATATATAGATAGATAGATATGAGCGATCAAATACAAACCACTTATATTTGTATAAACCGTGCAAACACCATCATCCGTCGATTTCATTGTTTAATCTTATGAAATTTTTTCTTGAAATTGTTTCATATAATACTTATAAATTTTTAATGAAACTGTTTCATATATTTCTGTAAAAATAATGTAATGAAGATGATAATATCAATGATTAACACCCTCCACATTAAAAATGATATTTAATCAACATCTCATTATTACAAAAAATGAATAAAATGAAAAATTATGATTGGTTGGATGAGGTTTATACAAATAACGTGGTTTGTAAAATAAACCTCCTATACACACACACACACAGAGGAGCGATCAAATGCAAACCGCCCCCTTTTGTGCAAACACTGCAAACCATTTTCATCCATCCATTTTCTTGATCAATGATCATGATTAAAATGTGTTATATTAGGAAAGTAAAAAAATAAAATAAAAGGTTTAATATTTAATCAAGAAAGGGCAAATTTGGCAAACCATTGTTCGTCTCATTTTTGGAAATTGATTTCATCAATAAAAACATTTTGGAAACTGTATCTCATTTTTTCGTTAGTGAAATTTCTTTCATTGTTCGTCTGTATAATGAAATTTGAGCCAGATATGGTTTAGTCAATAAAACATTTTCCAAAAATCTGAATAACATGTTTTTGTTAATGTAATTTGTTTCATCATTGAAATTGGTTTTATGGACTCCAATTCCAAAAACCAAATGACATTGTTTCAACAGTGAAAATTGTTGAAATGTTTTTTTAACCAAAATGGAATCGGTTTCATGGTTTTTAACCAAGATGAACTTGGTTTTACATATGAAACTAAATATTGTTCAGTCAACGAAACACTTCAAGAACTGAATGATAATATTTCATTCATTTTTAAATTTGTTTCATGTGTTCCTAACCAAAATGGAATCGGTTTCATGGTTTATAGCCAAGATGAAATTGGTTTTTATTAATGAAACCAAATATGGTTCAGTCAATGAAACATTTCAAGACCTGAATACTATTATTTCATTAATGAAAGTAGTTTCATGGTTCATAACCAAAATGAAATTAGTTTCATTTTTGAAACATTATGAAAACTGTGTAATGTATTTTCATTAATGACATTTGTTGTACAAATGAAAACAAAACAATATATGAAACTGTTTCACTATTTCTTGAATAAATTTATGAGACTACTTGTCACATTGAATGAAAGATTGACATGGTGTTGTGAACCATAGATGAAACTATTTCATTTATAGTTATTGAAACAAGATTAGACTGTTAATTATTTGTAATCAAACTGATTTTAGGAGTATAGTTTTACAATTCATATTTTAGGATTATGATTTAATAAAATAATATAAATTATTAATAATAATTATTATATATTAAAATAAACTGATTTACAACTTCCATAAAAATAATTATTATATTTAATTTTTCATATTTAAAAACAATTAAAACATTACCAAGATTAATCATTACAAAGTAACAAATTCATACTCTTATTCATTAAAAATAAAGAATGCCCAACAGTCATTTTCTATTTATATGGATGTGAAATCATCATATTATGGAACGAAGTATATCTGAGAGTATGAGATTAGGGGTGTGCATCGAGCGGGTTCGAGTGGACAAATCAAAAACCTGATCCGATTTCGGATATGAAAATCAATCTCCGATTTTTTATATTTAAAATAAAATGTTTATTTTGTATTTGACTATAAATATCTGCAGTTAGTTACACGAATTCAAACATGAAACTTTGATACTTACATACATTTTGTTTGTAACCTTGAATCTTAAGTAAAATGCATCAATAAACAATATTTCATGCATAAAAAATAGTTTTTAAGAATTTTTATCAAATGCTTTATAATATAGTATAGATAACCTAAATTTATCGGATAAAATATATATGAAATATAAAAAATTAAACATTTATTACAAAATATATATTCATTACATTAAACAAGAATCAAAGTAAGATTATTACATTGATTCATTTTGCCCTAATTTTTGAAATTTTCAATTTTGCCACAAAACATTTAAACTTTAAACATTGACAACATAACTTTGAAGATTTACAATTTTGCCATAAAGTATTTGTAACTCATCAATATTTACAACAGCGTTATCGTTTAGGTCAACCCTGATAAATTGGCACAAGGGACCTCCTTCTTCAAGTACATTAAACTTATAGCCCTCAAATTCTCTGAAATCTGTACAACGAAGGTATCCCCTTGCCATTTCAGTTTCTTCCCCGATTTTGCCCTAACTCCATAATGGCCCCCTCGATTTCTCCGTCCTTGACGTGATGAAAACCCACCCACGATCTCTTCTTCATCCCTCACCCATCACTCTACAATTCCTCCATTGTTAACCTAACCTCCACAGTCGAGCTAGCTGTTTTCCAAGCAGAGTTGCTAAGTGAGTTACTTTCTTTATTTGATTTAGTGTATAATATTGCCCAATTTTGGGTTTTCTAAACCCTAGCTCACAATTGAGTATGTTCTGCGTCGAACTTGTTACGGTTTCTTTGTGTTGCTTGCGTTTGTTTTGTGAACGGATTTGCTGTAGTTTATGTGTTTTTTGGTTGAATTCTTTTTGTGGTACTTGTGTTTATTGTGATGCAATCAGTACTCCCATCTGTACACCGGAAAGAATTACCGTTTCAATTGGATGTCAAAGGCGTTAGCCTTTCAAGTTTGGAGTTGAATTGGCTTTTTAAACTTCTTAAGATTGTTAACTGAATTACACATTGTGCCAAGTACTATGAAAGAAATCTGCTAACACTAAACGATTTCTGAGACCACTAATCTCTAGTCCTAGAGAACAACCCACATCCTAACTCATACCTACATTCCTGAAACAATTTGAAAGTTTTTACATTCCTTTTTTTTTGGGGTAACTGCGGGTGTCCGGCCAGCTTGCGAGCACCTCCCCTAATCCCATGGGCTAATCTCTTGGGGTTGAAGATAACAGTCATGAAAATCCTGGTGGCCCTGAGGGTTTAGCCTGGTAACAGGTGGAAAGAGAGAGTTTTGACCTGCTACTTTTGCTTTATCAGCACTCTTTTGCTAATGCAACTCGAAAGTTCTCGTGCAATTGCGTGAGCCGATACTGACATATATTTCTGCTCCATGTGTCGGTTTTTGTAGGTATATACGATGGCAAAAGGGAAGCTTATTTTAATTTGTCAGTCTGGTGGTGAGTTTGTGACCAATGATGATGGAACCATGTCATACAATGGAGGAGAAGCAAATGCAGCAAATGTCACAAGTGAGACTCCATTTAATGATCTAAAGTTACAGTTGGCTGAGGTGTGTAATCTGGACCAGAAGACAGTTACCCTCAAATATTTCCTCCCGGGAAATAAGAAAAACCTGATTGTTGTAAAGAACGACAAGGATGTAAAAAGAATGATTGATTTTCATGGGGATGCCATCACAGCAGAAGTCTTTGTAATGGGAACAGCAGGTTTTGATCGTAGTACCCTAGAGATGCAATCCAACAGGTATCGCTTTCCATTAATTTCATATTGTCCTTTCTATCTTACAGCATGCCAGACCAATCTTTGTTTCAGTTTCTGTTGAACATTATCTGGTAGGTTTTGTAGTACAGCTAGGATGGAAACTACATCCTGATCGTACAGCTAGGATAAATCTTAGCCTTACATTTCAGCATCTAAATTGGTTATAACAGGATGGAAAATGGTCATGGTCTAACAGTCATCAAGAAAAATTAAGAATAGCCTCCTCAAGATTCCTTTTTGATCTTTTCTATTATGCCTAAGAAGCACATTGTTGTAGCTTATCCTTGAATAATTTATCATTAGAATCTCCCTCTTACATGCATATTGGTCAAAAACTTTATAGCACTTTGGTTGTTTATGATATGGGAGCCTCTGAAGTACTTTGTTGTGATCAAATTGGTAATGTATACAGGGAAAGTGCTATCCAGAAAGACGAGATGAACCATGATAATTTGCATAACAAGAAAGATGCGTCTGCAAAACGTGGTAAGGTGCGTACCAAGAAAGATGAGAAGGTGCCAATAAGTCCTCCAGGTAAGAGGACACGCCGTGCCACTGCTGCTGAGACTGAAATGCAGTCTGATGAAGATCAAGAGGGTGGCAATGGCAAATCAGATGATGCCATGTCAGAGGGCACTACCGACGGAACTTCTTCAAGTGCTGCTTCTGACCATGGCAATGAGAAGGCAGATTCTGATTCTGGTTCAGACTATGCACCTAGGACTAGGAGCTCTGCACACTCTAGCAAACGCAATAGTCAGAGTGAAATTGATGTTGATGCTAGCCCTGCAGACACTGTGAAGAAGCGGAGGCGCACCCCTTCTTGGAGGTTTGGTGCCAATGGCCGTCCCACAATCGTTTCCTTTCCTGATAATAATTATGCGAGGTCGAAATCTCGGGGAAAGAGTGGGAAAGCTATTGCTGAGACTTCTGGAGATAGAAGATCACAGAGAAAGAGTTCTAGGGAAACAAGTTCAGGGAGAAAGAGAGCCCGGAGAAGTATTGTGCCAGAAGCTGGCGACAGTGATCAAGAACTTGATAACCTTCCAGGGAAAGAAAGTGATTCTGAAGAAAACTTACCTCTCACTGTTTGTGACGATTACGCGTTGCCTGAAACTATGGTTGATGCATGGAAGTCGGCTATCACTGGTGCTGGTCAGGAATTTGACAGCGTGAATCAATTTCGTGCTGCCTTGAAGAAGTATGCCATAGCGAATCGCTTTGGGTACAGGTTCAAGAAAAACGATACAAGTCGCGCCATTGGGGGATGTGCTGCTGAAGGGTGTACTTGGAGGTTCTATGCTGTGTGGGTCCCAACTACTCAATCATTTATGATAAAAACACTGAACAATGTGCATACATGCGACAAAGAATCCAGGAAATCAGCTCACCCAGCGAAGAATTGGTTGGTAGGTACCATAAAAGATAGGTTGCGAGAATCACCATATCTGAAACCAAAGGAGATTGCTAATGGAATTTTGCAGGATTTTGGAGTTGCATTAAATTATACACAAGTATGGCGTGGAATTGGGGATGCTAGGGAACAACTTCATGGATCACCCAAAGAGTCGTATAATAAGTTACCATGGTTTTGTGAGAAGCTTGTGGAGACAAATCCGGGTAGTATCTGTAAGCTCGTTATTGGTGACAAGAAAAGATTTAAATCCCTTTTCGTGTCCTTTTATGCAGCAATAAGTGGATTCCAGAATGGTTGTCGCCCACTTATTTTCTTGGAAGCTACTTCTATGAAGTCTAGATATGGAGAAGTTCTTTTGATCGCTATTGCCATAGATGGAAATGAAGGTTTTATCCCAGTTGCATTTGCTATAGTAGATGTTGAGGATGATAACAGTTGGTGCTGGTTTTTGGAACTTCTAAAAACTTCAATCTTGAAATCACAGCCTATCACTTTTGTCGTCGATAGAGACACGAACTTGAAGAATTACGTACTTGCAGTTTTTGAGGATGCCTATATTGGTTACTCCATTTACCATCTTTTGGCGAGCTTCAAGAGAAACATGAAGGGTCCATTCCATGGAGACGGTAAAGCTTTCTTAACGGTTCATTTTTTAGCAGCAGCTCATGCAGTCCGTCTTGTTGGTTTTAAAAAGTCAACAGAACAAATTAAGGTGATATCTTCACAAGCTTATGATTGGATCATGCAAATTGAACCTGAACATTGGGCGTCTTCATCTTTTAAGGGCGAGCGTTATAACTACATCACTGAAGATGTTTTTGAATCATATTCTAAGTTAATGGAGGACTACCGGCACTTACCCATATTACAAAAGGTAGATGCTTTAATACGTACGATGATTGATGACATGGAAGACGCTAAACTGGATTCAACTATGTGGTGTACCCAACTTACTGCGTTGAAGGAGAAAGAATTGGAAGACGAAAAACTCAAATCACGTGGACTGAAAGTCCTTATCTCTTCAGATACTCTGTTTGAAGTTCGTGAAGATTCCACCCATGTTGTGAATCTTAGCATTTGGAGTTGTACATGCATGGGTTGGAAGGAAACTGGTCTGCCATGCCGCCACGCTCTTGCTGTTTTTTCATTAACAGGTAAAAATCCGTATGATTTTTGTTCCAGTTACTTCACAGCTGATGCCTATCGGTTAACCTATGCTGAGTCCATCCGCCCAACACCCATTGATGGGCCACCTTTGCAACAAAATACGATTCATTTGGAGAAGGAAGAAGCTGAAGCACTTTATGTTGAGAACGCAGAGGGTGAAAAGGAAGGAGGTGGTAAGGGAGACTATGAATTGGAAGATGCTATCAAGGAAACAGAGGGGAAAATAGAGAAAGGACATGGTTCTATAGAGGACTCTGAAATGGAGGAGACTAACAAGGAAGAGGGTGAAAAGATGGAGGTTCAGATGTATGAGGGTTTCAAGGAAGGGAATGAGGAAGGCGAGGGTAGTAATGTAGATGCAGAGAACGAAGAGGGTAGCAAGGTGAATTCTGAGAAAGACGAGGGTAGTAATGTAGAAGCCCAAAAAGAAGAGGGTGGCAAATTGAATGCTGAGAAAGATGAGGGCAGTGATGTAGATGCCCAAAAAGAAGAGGGTGGCAAGTTGGATGCTGAGAAAGATGAGGGCAGTAATGTGGATGCCCAAAAAGAAGAGGGTGGCAAGTTGGATACCGAGAAAGATGAGGGTAGTAACGTAGATGCCCAAATAGAAGAGGGTGGCAAGTTGAATGCCGAGAAAGACGAGGTTAGTAATGTAGATGTCCAAAAAGATGAGGGTAGCAAGTTGAATGCCGAGAAAGACGAGGGTAGTAATCTAGATGCTGAAAAAGAAGCGGATAGCAAGATTGATGAGGAAAAAGAAGAGGATAGCAAGTTGGATGAGCAAGAAGAAGAGGGTAGAAAGTTGGATGTTGAAAAAGACGAGGGTAGCAAGTTGGATGTGGAAAAAGAAGAGGGTAAAAAGGTGAATGCCGGAAAAGACGAGGGTAAGATGGTAAAAATTAGAGAAGAACATGAGGATCCAAATGTGTTTGTGCTTCCTCCTCTTGTTGCAAGACCATCTTCATCCATAGTGAAGAAAGAAATGGATATTGGTGTTGAAACAGAGGGAGACATGAAAAGAAAAGTGACTTGTAGCAAGTGCAAGAAAGTTGGGCACTATAAGAAGTCTTGCAGGACCAAATTTTAGGTACTTCAGTCTCTTCTCTTGTATATATCTCTTATTCTTATTATTTACATCTTTATGCAGGCTTTGTAGTGTAACTTGGATCTTGTTCTTTGTTTGGACAAACATTTGATGAGATTTGTAGGCTTGTAGTATTCTAAGTGTTAGGGTTTACTTTTTTATGTTCGTTTATGATTTTGTACATCGTACCCGAGTGATAATAAGCATGCGGGAAATGTTAGGCGCTTTGTTTTCGAATAATCAATGTTCTTGTGAAAATGTTGGAAACCTCAAGTTGTAAAGAAGGTTATGGCGACATCGTTTGGAGTGTTTTCACTGTGCAGGTCCTATGGCCCTTATGGGAAGGTAAATCATCTGTCAGGGGTAGGTCAGTGGTGTGTAGAATTGAAATTAGGTGACTTTTATTTGCAATTATTACTCTATTAGGTGACATAACTTGTACATAAAAACTAAACCCCAACTCTTTGCAAATAAATCAAGTGAAAAGCTACCAACTAAGTTTTGGTGCAACAAGATACATCTGATTTGTGCGCTTCATCATGAATGGCAATACCCATTCTTACATATATATTGAATTTGTTTGGTTTGATTTATTTCGAATAGGGATACCCATTCCCCACCGAAAGATCCCAAATGCATTTTCCAACATTCCAAGTTCCTAACTCTACAAATACGTACCTGTTTTAGTAGCACAGTGGATGCTATGTGTAATAATCAGTTGTTTTGGACGATTGAAAATGAGACATGTAAGAGAAGAAAGAGTAAATCATGAGTGATAACAATAAAAAAAAATATGAGCACTGTGGGTATCTCAATTTCGTTCATTTTGAGGTTTAACGTGACGAGAAATATAAAATATGTACCTGCTTTAGTAGCATAGTGGATGCTATTTGTAATAATCAGTTGTTTTGGAACCGGACGATTGAAAATGAGACATGGAAGAGAATAAAGAGTAAATCATGAGGATAACAATAAAAAATATATATGAGCACTGTGGGTATCTCAATTTCGTTCATTTTGAGGTTTAACGTGACGAGAAACATAAGAATCATGGCAAAAAATAATCAACTACTTCACTAATACCTTATATTATATGAAAGTTACAACTTTTACAAAATATAATGCAATATTTACAACATATAGTCAAAGTCGAAGTCAATGTGAACGGTACAATCTTAACACAGTATAATGGTACATTCACTTATTCTTACAAAAGTGAAATTCTTATATGATCCTGACTCTACATGTACATTTGTCGTGTGTGTATTAATTATTTTACCTACATAAATAGTTTATGCAAAATGTTTGAAAACAAGAACTCCTTATGAAGACAAAAGGGATCTTCCATGCCCATTGTCTATAATCTCTCTTACAAGTGATTTTACCTGAGGTACCTTCTCTTTTGTCCTCATATTTGTTGAGACTTGAACTACTGACCTTTTTGCAGAACCGACCATGGTTGTAGGGAACACAAGAGGAGGATGGCAAGACCCCATTTTTGCAGAGCCGGTGCTTAGGGAATCTTTTTGGTAACACCACAAGAACGGTTCTTGTTTTGATGTAAAAATAACGAAATTTTCTTTGGCAGTTCATTCCCTAAATCAGATAAAGTTTGAGACAAATCGACAAAAGACTCTATCAACTTTATATAAAATGTAAGTGAGACCAATTAAGCAACTCGAATTACATCCAGGATGTTACTAAAATGCATTGGGGAGAACTTTAGGATCAAAGTTGTCCCCAAAAAACTTCTTTGGCACCCATGGGTGTCAGACCAACTTATGGTACCTCGATTAATACCACAGGCCCTGAAGAAAATCCCCATTCGCCCTCAGGAGACTCAAACATGCGACCAATGGGGATCCTCCCCAAATGGCTAACCTTTATTTGCTAGTTGAAAACTCCTCTTGCTTCCAACACAAAACCCAAAATTTGAATCTAACACATTGAAGACAAGATCTTTTTATTTTTATTTTTATTAACATTGATATCTAACCCGTTATGCGAGTCGACTAATCCTAGGGCGACCACCTGCTTTGCAGATAGCACAGAGTCACCGTATTTGAACCTCTGTGGCCACAAAGGGATTTTTGTTTCTTCTTGGATTTGAATCTGAGACCTTCTGATACTTTTGATCTTTGGAGTCAAGCTCAAACCAATGAGACACCACCCTTGTGGTTAAAAAGACAAGATCTCTTGCAACAAACCTATATGGGTATCTAATAGGACTAAAGAGAAGGAACCCCTTAAACCATCTACAAAAAATCTGAGGTTGAAACAAAGTCAGCACTAGATACAATCATTTACGCGCATCTAAGAGAGATCAATCCGAGCTCATACATAATGGGCATGGAGGATCCCTTCTATTTTCGTAAGGAGTTGTTTCCAAACAATCTGCATGATAAACATGACCACACACAAGAACCGCAACATCAGAAAGATAGCTAGTATAAACCGAGCAAAACCCACATATCGTCTTCATTATATCAGGAGATATTACATGTATTGCCAATGAATTTGATCTAATTCTTTGTGATGCATGTATGATATCTTGAACGTGATTCAAATACATGACCAAACTTCAACTGAACTTGTTCATCATCACGCAGAGGAGTAGTCTTTCTGTGAGACTAGAATTTCTTTGTGAACGTTATATGTTGCGTGAATAACAAATGCACGATTAAAATTGTGGTGGCGGTGATGAGCATTTGGTGAACCGTCCACGATATTCATCAAAGATGATAGGCTTTATTCCACATGACTTGAGAAATTTTCTGGTACAAAGTGGGAGATGTCATGAAACCAAACCAAATCAACCCAATATATCATGCTTGAGAATTTTTTTTTTATTTTTTTTTTTAAAATATTCTAAGTTTAAAAGCATAATCTTAAGAGGTGTATTGTGTGTTTTTAATATAATCAAGAAAACACAAAAAGGCAAAACATACCATCTTTTTAATATAATTAAGAAAAAAAAAATACTAAAATACTATAAAAACATAAAATCATTTAAAAAACGAAAAGTCTAAAAAAACCCAATTGACTTTAGTGTTTGGAATGATTAAATTCTTAGACAATTTTTTGGAACAAATAAGTTCTTGAACATTACAAAACCTATTAAATAATTTCTTGGACTTTTTAAAACATGTTAGATAACCTATAAAACTTATTAATATGGTAAAATAATAGAAAAAGCCTGAAAAAAAGCAATAAACTTTCATATTTTGAGTGATTAAGTCCCTAAAT